TATATATATACATAACTTTTTTGTTTTGTAAAAAGAAAATTTGTGGTGTGTGCAGCAGACTGGGTGACTGCTCTCAGTCCAATCAGAAAAACATATTACATATTCTGGAAATCAGAAGATTAAATAGATTAACGATCATATAGCCTCATATATGTATTTTTTCACCCCAAATCCAATGCCACCACCTGTGACTCTACAGTTTTGGAGATAAATTATACCTACAAGAGGGAGACAGTGAGCAGTGGGGGATTGTTAGTGAAAATCGCATTTTCTTTTGTTATTTTTGGTCAAATCACTGAAAGTACCTTTAAGCAAAACAAAATGGTGGGAGGCCACCTGAAACAGTGACTATGATGCTATTACAATAGGCTACATTATAGGAAATACTATATAATTTATGTATGTCACGTACAGCCAAGTGCAGGATCCTCTTCAAGTTTGTCAGGGTGGAATGTGGAAGTGGAGGAAATGTGGGAATGACAGTCAAAAATACCATCAAAATGCATAGTTTTATGTAAAATAGCATCAAAAATTTTCGGCGGCCTCCCTGCCAGCTGTGTCATTGGCCCAGTAAAAATTCTTTTCATGGGGCCCAAAATCCCTGGCGGCGCTCCATGGTTGAACCCAGCTGCTAGATAAAATGCTAGTATTATTATAATATTCTGCAAATTGGTAGCTGTGTTGTAACTCTGATTAAACATTAGGCTCCCTTAATCACATTTACTCTGGTAGGCTGGTCAGCTCACATCGCATGGAAGGGCAGAGAGGTGTGCTCTCTCCGCCTTAGGCTTTCCACATAGGCGCATGGAAGAGGCTTTCTGCATAGGCCCGAGGAAAGGCAGAGAGGCAAATATAATACTGCAAATGGAAATAAAGTTTTCTTTGACTAAGTGTTCCTGACTGAACTACTAGTTATGGTTCATGTCTAGACTTAAAATACCAAGTTTTGGGGCAAAGTCCCTGCTAGAAATGCCAAACTAAAAAACAACCGCTTTTTGTGGCGCTATCCCCGCCGACAGGTGGCTAAAAACACCCACGTATGACGCCTAAAAGGCTGATGGAAACAGCATTAATTTGCTAAATCACAATCGGTTTTGTAGTTTGTGTCTAGACTGTGGTCTTAAGCTCGGCAGGCATCTTGCCTAGGTGTTACACTATCCATCATCCCCTTCACCTGATGTCAAACTGATGAAAAAGTCAGTTTTTATACTACGTCACTTTGACAACATTGATATGATACACAGGAAAAGTGCAAATTTAACTTATTCATAGTTTGCAAAACATACAGCAAAATTTTCCTTTAGTGACTAGGTTTGTGATGTGATGATACGATGTATAGGATTCTTATTCAGTGTCATTCATTATTCTCCACAGGAAGCCTCTTCAGAAATGATGAGGAGCTCAGGATAGTGATGGTCGGGAAGACTGGAGTTGGGAAGAGTGCCTCCGGAAACATGATTCTGGGACGAGAGTGCTTTGAATCAAAGTTCAGTTCAAAGTCTATGACTGTCGACTGCTCTAAGGGCAGAGGTCAGGTGGACGGGCAACGGGTTGCAGTCATTGACACCCCGGGCCTGTTTGACACCAGGTTTGGCTCAATTAAAACAACTAAAGATTTATGCCAGTGCATCTCTTACATTGCTCCTGGACCCCACGTGTTCCTGGTGGTCATCAGGCTGGGCAGATTCACTGAGGAAGAAAAGCAGACGGTGCAAAAGATTGAAGAAATCTTTGGCCAGGCGGCGAACCAGTACAGCATGGTTCTCTTCACTGGTGGTGACCTCATTGAAGGCACTACTATGGAGGAATTCTTGGGTGAAAGCTCAGAGCTTCAAGAACTCGTGGCCAGGTGTAACGGCCAGTACCACGTCTTCAACAACAAGCTGAAGGATCGCTCTCAGGTCACTGAGCTGCTCCAGAAGATCAGAAACATAGTCCAGAAGAACGGAGGAAGCCACTACACCAGCGAGATGTTCCAGGAGGCTGAGAGGGCAATCGAAGAGGAGAAACAACGCATCCTGAAAGAGAAAGAAGAACAAATGCAGAAAGAAAGAGAAGAGCTGGAGAGGAAGATTCAGGAAAAATATGAAAACCAGATGAAGAAAATATACGCTCAGTTCCAGGCTGACAGAGACACGGAGAGGAGGGAGAGAGATGAGGAGAGGATGAGGGAGAAGAGGAGAAAGAGGTTCATGGAAGAGAGTGAAGCAGAGAGAAAAGAAAAGGAAAGGGAGATGAAAATCCTGCTGAGTAAAATAACTGAACAGCATGAAAGAGAGCTGAGAGAGGAAAGAAATAAGCTGCAGAACAAGTATGAAAGTGAGGCCCGAGAAGAAGCTGAGGGTATTAATCTGTTATATCCCCTGGTGGTAGCTGGTAAATGTATAGTTAGAGCGGTTGACAAACTCGGAAAGGCAATTGGGAGCTGGTTCGTGTGAGCGGTCCCAGATTCATGTGTTGACCACAGAGGGACCCTCCAGAAGCTCCGACACACAAGAACATATGAGAAAAATAAAACTTCATACACAGTTTGAAATATGAACCTTATTTTATTTGTTGAAGTTCTGTGTGTTTTAACAGTTTGTAATTCCTCACATTATATTGTTTTCATGTTGGTCTCAGTTTGACAACAAAGTATTCATTTCATGGGTTATGCTGATGATTTATGCCACACAAGAGCAAATGTCTTCATGTGCCAAACTGAAAATAAATAAAGATGTGATGTTAAGACTGAACCGTTGTTGAAGTAATGATTAACTGTCCACTCAAGAGTTCAAAGATCACAGGTCAATACAGTCTTACACTGAACTACTTGTAGATACCTTGTTAACAGTGTTATTAATATCAAAGGGCTATAGAAGGAAATAATAACCAAAATTATAAAATGTATAGGCTATTTTAAAAGTGCTGCTTCGGTCTCAACTCAATGGAATAATTGTAAGAACAACAAAATATTTGTTCCAAGCAGAGACGAGCAGGGTGAAGTCAGGTCATTTGAGACATCAGGTAAAACAGGACAAATGAGGTTTACCATCTTGAAATATCAGCAGTCAAGTAACAATATTATTAGAGATTCAAAGAGTCACTGGTCCAAGAACTTGCAAGGTGAAACATGTCACATGTTGATTTTCTGTTTTTGGTGGGCTAATATGAGCACTGCATGGAGATATATTTGTGTCTTTATTACATGCGAGAAAATAAATGATATGAGAAGGGAAAAAAATGTTTGAGAGAAAAAAAAAATATTTGAGAGAAAAAGTTTTCACACTGATAGCAAAAAATAATAATATTTGAGACTAAAAAAAGTTTTGAGAGAAAGTATTTTGTCAT